TTAGCAAAAAGTCAAAAATATTGTTTTATTCTCAAAATTGTTGGTCTTTTTTTTATAGAGCAAGATTTTAAAAAAACGCACAGGCGATCAAATACCACTGAAAGAAAGCTCAATTCGTGGGAAAAAAGGATGTATTTGTCATTTGGGTGCAACATTGCATGACCGCGCAATTGTCAGTTAAAGTAACGCAGCGCCGTAATGCAAATAATGGCCTGGTCAGTAAGGGGGGTAAATCATCAGGAGGGCAAGTGGTTAGGCATGTTTTCCTGTATTAGTGGTGGTGGCCATCTTGGATCAAACATTTTTCTACACTTGGAGGAATGTTATTAGTGATGGAAATTTTTTAGTCATTACACTGTTGGATTGCTTCATTTGAACTTAATTTGTTTGAAATTAATTTTGGGTACAAATAGTTTTGTGTATTGTTTGGAGGACTTTATTTTATCACGATATTTACTGAATTATTTATTGTGCATGAATTTTCACACTGATGAATATTTTATTATTATTGAATCAGCGCTGTAATTATTATTTTGTTATAATATTTACAAATTGCAGCTTACCTTTTTTAATGCTCTACTCTGGATCCTCCAGCAAGAAAAAACCCTGATAGTTTGTTTTTGCTTATGAGGCTGGTAAGCTGTGTTTGCCATAATTAATCCCTGTCTGTACAGTGTTCATTATCAAGTGTAACTAGATCTGAACACTGTCTGTCCTAACAAAAGGTTAAAGGTGTTGCATTGTCTGTTAATGAGGACAGACTTGGGACAGACCCCCTTGGGACATTTGCCTATATGCATTTTGAGAAAAAAAAATTTCTACAACAAGCACTTTGTTTTTTTGGTGGTCCTCATGGTCCAAATGGGAAAAAATATAGTTATTGTGTGGACACATTGGAATGTTACAGCTGTGAGATTCTCCATTAGGAAGCAGAAAACACACCCTGCTCCCATTATGCATGTTTCATGTAATGTTTAATGTCCAAGACTGAACCTCAGAATCAGACTTTCCTTACTCCTAAAACCTTTGCTTTCAGAGGCCGTTGACCTAGAAGAGTCAGATTGTTTTAAGATTTCTAGAAAAAGAAGAAAGCTGACAAGATCTCAGAGTGCTTCTCTCTGTGATCCAGGAGAGTAGGATGCCTTGAGTCAATGGAACAGGGTTCAGCTGGCCAGAAAGGCAGACACAATATACAGTGGGTATAGAAAAGAATCCCCCGCTTAAAATAATCATATTTTGTTGCTTTGCAGCCTGAAATGAAGACAGACACAGTTTTTGTTTTATCCAGCTGTATTTACTCAGTGCAACTTATAACATCCAAGAGAAAGATATAACACCAACATGTCAGAAAACAAATTTTTTAAATTAAAAAACAGAATCACTGAGTTGGAAAAAGGATCACCCACCCCTCCTAAAAGTGACTTGTAAACTCAATCAGGTGTTTCTAATCACCTTTTCAATAGCATGCAAAGCCATTCGACTTTCAACTGTGAGCATTTTGATTAGCTCAGCATGAAAAGAGCTTTCCTGGAGCATTTCAGTCCCTAGTAGTGCAAATGAAGCAACTCAACTCAACAATCAACTATGGGTGGCACGGCACTGTCAAAAAATCTCTGGGATAAAGTTGTAGACAGTCACAAGTCAGGAGATGGCTACAAAAAAATGTCAAATGTTTTATCAATGCCTAGAAGCACAGATAGGTCTATTATGAAGTGGAAGGTATTTGGTATAACATAGACCCTCCCTGGATCTGGACATCACTCCAAACTGGATGAAAGAGCCAGGAGGAAACAGAGAGGCTACCAAGAGGCCTACAGCAACTCTAAAGCAATTGCAGGAATTTATGACAAAGAGTGGTCATTGTGTGCATGTGACAACAATATCACAAATTCTCCACAAATGTAGCTTGTATGGAAGGCTTGCAAGAAAAAAAAGCCACTCTTCAAGAAAGGCCACATGCAGTCACGAAGGAGGTTTGCCAAAACGCACCTTAAAGTTTCTGAGTCCACATGAAAAAGGGTGTTATGGCCAGATGAGACTAAAATTGAATTATTTGGCCTCAACAATAAATGGTATGTCTGGAGAAAATCCAATACAGTGGACCATCCAAATAGCACCATTCCTACAGAAAAGCATAGAGGTGGTAATATCCTATTATGGGGCAAAATATGGATGGGGCAAAATACCATCACATTCTTGTGGAAAATCCGCTGCCCTCTGCTAGAAAGTTGTCAATGAGAATGTTTACCTTCCAACATGACAATGACCCAAAGCACACAGCACAAATGATAACAGATTGGTTGGAGGAGAAAAAGGTGAATGTCCTTGCATGGCCTAGTCAGAGCCTAGACTTAAACCCCATTGAAAATCTGTGGAATGCTAAACCACTAAGGGATCTTGGTTACAGCACCTTTGCAGATATAGGTAATCTTGTCCCGAGTAAAGGCTTGCACACTTTTCTGCAGATTAAGGGATTTCTCGGTACTGGTGTTAAGACATGGTTGGAAAGCTTAGGGGTTTATTTACTAAAGCTGGACAGTCCAAAATCAGACTCCCTTCTGCATAGAAACCAATCAGCTTCTAACCTCAGCTTGTTCAATGAAGCTTTGGCAATGAAACCTGGAAGCTGATTGGTTTCTATGCAGAAGTGAGTCTGATTTTGCACTCTCCAGCTTTAGTAAATAAACCCCATTATGTTTGTGAGAGGGCCCTGGCAATTAATCATCAATCTATGGAGAAATTTGAAACAAGGTGGTCCCGATGGAGAGAGATAATTATATTACATAATATTACTGTATAGTATTGAGTGAGAGGTGGTTTCAAACATTAATATGCAAGCTCTGTTCTTCCCTTACTCTTAACTATTTGGATTGAATACATAACCTATATTTATAACATTTTATAATTGATGCATATTGGCCAAGGGCCATTTTGTATTTGCCAATGCAGATCTAAGACCATATTTGAGTTGTGCTAAGAAAAAGATGTATGTATTGTGACAGTGTGGTGATCTGTCACCCTGGATTCTCAACAAGGCAGGTTGAGGGGCTCCAGGGTAAGTGTTTGATATGGAGGAAAGTGGCTTTTCACTTTCCTCCTTTGTTTGTAAGGTCTGTTTTGGGATCTGGAGCCTGGAGATTTCAAAGAGATCTGGGAGGGATGAAATCTCCAATCCTGGGACCAGGTTTTTGGAATGGCCAGGAGACTGATTGCACAGGTGTGTGCAGGCCTTTCAGAGAGTCAGGATCAGAGTTCTGGGCTCCACCGCGGCAGATAGGAGTCAGCAGGGCTCCACTTGGAAGACAGGAGGTCACTGCCTGGAAGTCAGGTGGGCTTCACCTAGGAGAGGTGGAAGCCAAAAGCAGCAAGGGGCTGCTAGAGACTAGCTGTGTGCTAGAGGCCAGCGGTGTGCAAGAGCCGTGTCTTGAAGAAGTCTGCAGGAGGCAGACATCAAGCTGAGTATAAGCCAGGAGGCTGAGTTTTGTTTTGTGGATGATCGATACCCCTGTGTGGGAAACTTCTGTTTGAACTTTCATTTAAATAAAAGTGGGCTAAAAAGGCCCTGAAAAATAAAGCGAGTAGCTGTTTGCGTTTAAAAGCTCTACCATTTTGAAGTGAGTTCCCACAGTATCTATATTCTATTCTGAACCTTGTATTGTTGTATTTGCCTACAAAATTTCAATAAAAATGATTTGAAAAGAAAATTTGTGGAATGATTTGAAGACTGCAGTCCACAAACGGTTACCATCAAATTTAACTGAACTTCAGCAGTTCTGCAAAGAAGAGTGGGCAAATATTGCAAAGTCTAGATGTGTAAAGTTAGTAGACACATATCCCAACAAACTATAGGCTGGAATTGAAGCAAAGGTGGTTCAATAAAATACTGACACGGGAGGGTGATCCTTTTTCCAGCTCAGTGATTCTGTTTTTGATTTTTTTTTTCCCTGACATATTGATGGTATTTCTTTCACTTGGATAATATAAGTTGCAGTAAATACAGCTCAATAAAACCAAAAACTGTGTCTGTCTTCATTTAACGCTGCAAAGCAACAAAATGTAATTATTTTAAAAAGGGAGTGATTCTTTTTTATACCCATTGTACATGATTCACTGGTTCTACATTAGAAAACTTGATGTGTTACTAAACCCACAACAGTAAAATCAGTCTGTATATGCAGTAAAGCATGATTGTTAATACTCACTATAGAACCTAAGGGGTTACTCCTACGCATGTAAAAAAAAAAGCCTGTTTGATCCTGTCTTCTCAGATCCTGCCCTTCTTCCACAGTCCCCAATCCATCTGCTTATAGTACAGAGCCCTAGGAGATACTCTGCACATGCTCAGTTTGGTGTGTATTGCTAGAGAGGTTTTTTTTGGGGAGGGTGCATGTGATTGGCACAGGGCCAATCAGCACTGTCCAGACAGAGAGTCATGGGTTATGCAGCCATAATAGGACAGGCAAAGCAGAATGAAAACTACAAGAGTAACCAGTGCTCGGATGGACACTGATAGAAGTCACAAGACTGCTATATACTGCTTTTGAGAAAAGGTATTTAGCAGTTTTTTATTTACTAAACTAATTGCATTTCTATGTTCTGAGTACTGTTGGAGACCAGATATAGTGAATGCAGGGTAATGGGTTTAGTAATACTTTATTGGAAACCTGCATTTTAAGAAACATTTGGCTGTCATTGAAGATCTGCTTCTATAAAGTCTAGTCACATGGCTCTTTCCAGCTTCAATACTATTTGAGTTACTGACAAACTGCAACAAGAATGAAATATGTTAGGTGAACACACAGTCAAAACACTTCATCTGCTTACTTAGGTCAGTGATTCAGAAAGTGCTAAAACTAATGGATCGACTTTACAATCAGGTGACTAGACTTTAAAGAAATGACATATTTAAATGACAACCCACATATTTCTCTGAGAAAAGTTTCTCTTAAGACCTACAAGCAGTTCCATGGGCATAATTTAGCTTTTGTTTGCTTGCATCCCTAGTTACCCATAAACTGGTCCGGTTGAGCTCGATCTCCAGTTGAAGATGCCTCTCTGTTAGCTACAGTCATATTGCGGAGTCTCAGTCCATCGTACATTCCCTGGAGCTTATTATACTGCCTATTGCGCTCCATCAGTTTTTCTGAGAGTTCGCTGTATTTTCTTTTGTATTCTTCCAAGATTTTCTTTAAAGAGTTCACTTCACCTTTCATAGCAACCATCTCTGCATCCTTGCTTTGTATTTGATGAGTATACAGTTTTTCCACCTGTTTCAGATGTCCTTCTGCTTTGCTGTAACTATATTCCTGGTATAACCGCTCCTGGTATACCTAAATGCAGATATAAGGATAGAGGTGATAAAGAGCAAAAATAATTTTTTATTGTTATGTATCTGTTCCATAGGACTAAAGAATAATTCACACATATATTAAGACCAAGCACCACATTTCCCCATCAACCCCTCCCCATTTGTTTTGTCAGAATCTGCAGGTAGCCTACAGATATTAGATTGAATATATTCAGATGTTATCCAGTCTCTCTAGGCACCTTAAAGGCTAAGTTCACCTTTTTTTTTTCTAAATTCCGGGTCCCCTATATACCAGTATACCATGAATGTACCTCTTTTGCATAAAAGAAAAAGCTTTCTATATGTCCTAGGCTAGGATTTACCTCAGCCTCTAGTTTTTTGTATAACCAAATCCTCCCTTACTTAAAAAAAAATCTTCCCTTAGTTCGGGAAAACTATTAAGACACAGGAAGGCATTCACCAGCTGACCTCATTACCATACACCCTGCACTTTCCTTATTTTGCACCTTACCATCGCCTTGTGTTGATCGCCCATTTGGCAGAGTGTGCAGGAGCTGAGCAATCAAAGCCAATCTGGAGCAGAGCTGTAGTACTAAAAACAGGAGAATATGTCCATGGAAGTTTGTAAAGCTCACTGTTCACTATACAATCTCCTTTAGATCTACTATCATCTATGTAGTGCAAGGGCCTGCCTGATTGGATACAGAGTGATTGGATAGGTGGTGTGTCCTCTTATTATATAGTTTTGGTAAATCTAAAAGAGATCATACAGAGATTGTACAAACAGATTATATAGTGTATGGCTACCTATTTACACCTAAAATTAACTAGTCACTCTTTTGGTGCGATTAACTGTTAATGGTCCCCCAAACGCATAAGCAAACACACATTTTTCCACAAGAAAAAAAACTAGTGACAAATGCAGCAAAATGCACTGTAAAAAAACATGCAAACCACAACATGCCAAAAATGTCCTGTAAGCTACTTGGCCACCTGTAGCACAGCCCATTGAAATTGATAGGGGGCTGTGGGTGTCATCACATACAATACGGGGCTATTAACCCTGCATTGTACATGAAGGAGGCAGGCATGCAACCATGGCCAGAGGTGCTTTAGAGATGATGCAAGGAGTGAGATAACTGTTACTCCTTATCCCTGTGCCCCTAGACTTAAAGGAGTACAGCCAAAGCTCTTTTGGCTGTACTCCTGTGTATCACAGGAGTGCAGTTCGTTCTGTACTCCTGTGACCCATTTTCAGCTGACAGGGGGTTGAAGCTTGCTGACAGCTGACATCACTCAACTGGACCATGCTGGGGGAAAGATCCTGATTTTGAAGTCAGGATCCACCCCCAGAGTCTGCAGCGGCACCTGGCTCAGCCTCACAGTGAGCCACTGAGAGCCTGAGCCAGCAGCTCCCTCCCCTCTAAAGCCCAGCGCTCCAGTGAGCTGAGCAGAGCAGACAGCAGTGGCTGACAGTCACCACTCTCAGCTCACAGTGGCGGTGAGAACTCAGCAATCAGCCGTCATGTGATTGATGAGTTCTCAAACATAGAGCCGGCAGGAGACACAGTGTTGGACTCATAGTGTATCCACTTAGGTAAGTATGATTGGGAGAAAAAAAAACTTCTCTTTTATAGAGCAGTTAATATATTACAAAAGAAATAGTGGAATCAGACACCACTTTGAGCTTGTCTCCAAAAAATACAAATACCTTTTTTTCACATACATAATCATACACAAAGTAGTCACTGAAAAACTCCCTATTAACCTTTTCCCGCAGGCTTTAACACCAAGGTGCCGCATACATTTTTCTCTGCTAAAAGTGCACTCACTGTGTGCTCTCAGCACACTAACTAAGCTGTTGGGGCAGCTCCCAATGAATATTTGTGATCAGGAGCTTCCAATCATGTGCATACTCTGACAGCTGATCCCAGTGGCTACACAAGCATTTAGAGCCTCTTAAATGATATTTAGCTCATTCCTCTTCAGCTATTTTAACCAGACTTGTATGAAAAATAAAAATGGTAAGCAGTCACACCTTCAAAAAAAAGGGAGGGAATACTTACCTTTCCTGCTACCCGTGTCATCAGAACATAGCTCTGCTCACATGAGATTATCCACTGGGAAAACAACACTTCAGGAGTGTTAAGCTCCTGGGTTCCCTGCAGCATTTACTGGTTTCTCCTGCTGGAAGCAATGTCACTACTGTCTCCTGCAATAGTGTGGAAGTCGATCAAAGGAATCAGGCAGCTGCAGGGAACCAAAAAATATCAACACTACTGAAAGTGTTATTTTGGCAGCAAACTTCAGTGGAGGATTTCTTGTGAACAAACCAGAATATGCCATAAGATGGAACCTAGTGTTAATTGCTCAATAAAAAAGCAGCAGGATCATGCAATCTCATGCATTCACAATTATAAACGACTGTTAAAGCAAATCTGTCTCCCAAGTGACAGTAACTCAAGGTTTGCATTCAATTTGAAAGAGTCCTTAACAGGTCCCAATGAAAAAATGAACCTGTGCTGCTTTTGGATGTGTATCATAGTTTATGTAAGTAAGTTGGAGTGCCATTACCTACATTAAAATTTTGGTAAAAGCACATGGAGTCCACCAGAAAAATGTTTTACTTCAGAAAAACACACAACTGTGAACAGACAGACCCTTATAAATGAAAGGCTGTAAATATTAAATGGAGTAAATGACCTGTTCACACTTAGCTGTTTTACTGCATAAAACTAACTAATGCAGGTTAAAGTGTGTGTGTGTTCTTACTTTGAAAAAAAAATACATCTCTGCCATAAAAAATGGTACATTTGACTGCCCATTTACACTTAACAGGGTGCATTACAGCATTTTTAAATTAATTTTCACTTTGATTGTATGCATTATTATTATTATACAGGATTTATATAGCACCAACTGTTTACACAGCACTTTACAATATAAAGGGGGACAGTACAATTACAACACGGTTCAATAGAGAAAGAATAGGAGGACCCTGATCATAGAATCTACAATCTAAAGAGGCATTCGGCTACGTCAGCACAAACAAATTGGTACGTTCAGAGGCGGCCGAACGCTGGCTTTGGATGCAGCAACACTCAAATTGTCAAAAAAACTGGCTGATTAGCAGTGGCCAGATTGTTGAAGCCAAAACTCAGCAGAAATGTTGAAATGTTGTCCCTGTTTGTGTCCAGGGTTGCTAAAATATATGGTTACATACAAATAGCAGCGAGACTTGTAATTGATTTCTGCAGGGCACAAATCTGACAGCCACCTATAGAGTGTGCAAGCAGAATTCACAACACCAGGCAAGAATCTACTGATTGTTGACGGTGGCCGTGCTGGCAACACACAACCTGCCATGTGAATGTATTTTAGAGTCAGGTACACCTTGTTAATGTGTGTTTCTGGAAGGCCTATTACCTTTTTTACCTCTGAGCTGCTGAACTTTGGACAAACAGTGGTCCTTAGTCCAAATATTTTTCTGTTAATATATATATATATAAATATATATATATATATATATATATATATATATATACAGTGGTGTATTTAGGTTTTGTGCTGCAGAGAGAGCCTGACATTGATCAACAACACCCCTGCCTCCCACCCGAAAGAGCCTTCCACTACCACTGCCCCCATACACCAGCAATCATCCCCCATGGCAAGAGAGAGAAAGACACTCACCTTCACAGCTCCAGACATCCCCGGGAACGAGAGTCGGACTGTGCATACACCGCCATGAAACCCGCAGCCTCTCTCAGAACCCACCAGGTCCCCATGCCGTGTGTGTCCCATCTTCCGAGGGGCAGTGCTGCCCCCCCAAAAAAAATGCCACCCTAGGCAAATGCCTTGTTTGACTTGTGGTAAATACACCCCTGCTTCCAATACCACTGCCCCCCATACACCAGCCACCATCCCCCATGGCAAGAGAGAGAAAGACACTCACCTTCACAGCTCCGGACATCCCCGGGAACAAGAGTCGGGCTGTGCATACACCGTCATGAAAACCGCAGCCTCTCTTGGAACCCACCAGGTCTCCATTCCACATGTGTCCCTTCTTCCGAGGGGCAGTGCTGCCCCCCTTGAAAAATGCCACCCTAGGCAAATGCCTTGTTTGCCTTGTGGTAAATACACCCCTGTGTGTATATATATATATATATATATATATATATATATATATATATATGCTATAATGGCTAGTGTGTATCCACAATATATAGAAGGTGTATTGGTAACATTACTAAACCTAAAAATGTTTCTTACCTTAATGCATTGCTTGCATTAAAAGGATAAGTTCATCTTTTAGACAAAAATAATAATTTTTTGCAGGTAAAAAAATATGCATTTATTATTTTTGCCTGCAGGAGTTTGGAAAGCACTGCACCAGCGATCAGTAGATCGCTGATGCCATGAAGGTCTCCTGCAGACCTGTCAAATATCTGCTTGCCATACAGGGATGTACGAGCAAGCAGATATTCTGACAGGAAGCTTCACTTAAAACTACAAGCTGATAGGCGCTAAGGATGCCGGAACTTGTAGGCACATGGCTGCAGCTATGGGAACATTTTACATGTTCCACCCTAAAAAACAGGTGGAACATGTCACATGTTCCCAAAGGTGAACTTATCCTTTAAGGTAAAAAATATTTTCGTTTCCCTGTGCTCCCCTCCAGCTGCATCTCTTCTCCCCTCACTTCCACTTCACACAGGGACTCGAACAGCAGCAGGAGCCATTGGCTGTTGCTGCTGTCACTCAACTGCGGTGAAGAGGAAGTTGGGGGGGGGGGGGGCTACGTTCCACTGTGTGTCTATGGAGCACAGTTCTGTAGACACACAGGTCGGGAGCGAACATGCAGTGTTTGTCCCCATAGCGAACAGCTTGCTATGGGGACACACAAAGAAGAGGAGGAGCCAGGATCACCCATCAGGGATCTGAGAAGAGGAGGATCGGGGCCACTCTGTACAATACCACAGTACAGAGCAGGTTAATATAACATGTTTGTTATTTTAATTTAAAAAAATGCCTTTAGTAACACTTTAATTCCCTCTAAAGTTTGGTTCACATATATGCGGTTTCCCTGCAGCTGCATTGGCTTGTGCACAGCAGCCCATTCTTTTGAATAAGCTGTATCCACTAAAAACGCAAGGAAGAGGTCCCTGCACCTTTACATAAAATGTGGCCGCATAGTGGTTTCCAATATGTGGAGATGCCATTAGCATTAATGGTACCCCCATACATCTCCTGGGTGACAGTGCATTTTTCTCTGAGGGTGGTTGGGTGTGCAGGAACAGGTTTGGTCCCACAGCGGCAACAACCCACACAATTGTGAACCTACCGTTAGGTTCTCTAGAATTGTTACATTTTAGCTCTTGCTACAAATAGGTATACATTTTCTATGCTCCTAAACTTTATTTAGTGGCAATAATGCATTATTTTACTACTGCCTATAAAACAGAACAGAATCAAAAGGGAAAAACAGCCTTAAGAAAACTCATTTTGTTATCTAATGTGCACAGAAATAAAGTATATGCAGATTTATGGCTATGTATTTTTTTTTTTTTTTTTTTTTTTTTTTAAATAGACCAATATAGTATGGACAAACAAACATTAATGCTCAATATAAAAAAACCCTGATCTATGGTTTGTCCACATTTTCCCCCCAAAAAATGTATGTGCTAATTTGTGAAATTGAGTATTCTTCTCTGTAGCTATCCTTTTCTTACCTGGTAGGTCCAGAATGCTAAAGCACGAGAACAAATATCTAGGACAATCTCAGGACGTAAGCCAGCCAGCATCATGGCCTTGTGTTCCTCAGACGGGCTCAGCTCAGTACGGACAATATCCAGCTTACTGGAGAGTGTGCTATTACAGGCTGGACAAACAGCAGGAGATCGGCTGAATTCTCCACTTCCATGCTGGTCACAGAATATATGGGAACAAGCTGTGACCCAGGCTCGACCAGACAACTTTACCCTGCATTTAGGGAAATTGCACAGCAAAAGGTCATCACACACTGACATCACTATGGTCAATCTGGAAGACAAAATATTTCTTGTTAGCTCAAACCAACATCTTACAAGATTGGATGCATCACTACTTATTGCATCATAAGAGTCCAGATCTTTTTTGCCTGCTTGTATCTCTTCAACAAAGATTATCTTGAGGAGCAATATTGTAAATAAACACTATTACAATTATAAAATAATATGTGTAGTTCGGTGGCAAAGTTCCTTTAAAGCAAATCTTTTATGAGAAACATATGGGGGCTGCCACTGCCAATCTCCTAATGCTGCTAGTTAACTCACTAGTAAAGTGAAAGGGACAAAGTTTACAATAGAACTACAGGCAAAATTACATAGTTTATGAACAGGCTATTTATTGCAAAACAGACATTTAGGGGTTTATTTACTAAAGCTGGAGAGTCCAAAATCAGACACCCTTCTGCATAGAAACCAATCAGCTTCCAGGTTTCATTGCCAAAGCTTCATTGAACAAGCTGAGGTTAGAAGCTGATTGGTTTCTATGCAGAAGGGAGTCTGATTTTGGACTCTCCAGCTTTAGTAAATAAACCCCTTAATGTCTCTCCTGTAACAACATAAATGGGCACTTACATCACTGGCACAGCCCCTGTGCACCAGGATAAATTACCTCTGTGCAGGAGTTATGTCATTCTACACTGGACAATCAAGATAACTGAAACTGGCACCCAGAAGAAGCTGGGAAGAGGAAGTCAGGACCAGCAAGGGACCCTGCACAGACACTAGAACATTGAAGAGGGCAAGTATTGTGACTTTCATTCAGGTTATAATCACCCCATGATTTGCATATAACTGGAACAACATAAATAGAATGAAACAATAATATTACCATGTATCTTTTTAATAAAAGCGGAACTTCAATTGATTCTAAAGGCTTTTTTTTTTTTTAAGAAAAAATAAACATGTCCAGGTTTAGAACTATAGAACAGTGTACAGTATATTTACCTTTAGTAAATCAACCCCTATGTGTCCAAAGTTGCATGTTAGGGTTAAGGATTAGGGTTAGCATTAAATGTTAGGGTTAAGGATTAGGGTTAGCATTAAATGTGAGGGTTAAGGATTAGGGTTAAATGTTAGGGTTAAGGATTAGGGTTAGGGTTAATGTTAAGGTTAAGGATTAGGGTTAGCGTTAAATGTTAGGGTTAAGGATTAGGGTTAGGGTTAAATGTTAGGGTTAAGGATTAGGGGGTTAAATGTTAGGTTAAGGATTAGGGTTAGCGTTAAATGTTAGGGTTAAGGATTAGGGGGTTAAGGGGTTAAGGATTAGGGTTAAATGTTAGGGTTAAGGTTAAAGGGTTAGGGTTAGCGTTAAATGTTAGGGTTAAGGATTAGGGTTAAATGGGGTTAAGGATTAATGTTTTAAATGGGTTAGGGTTAAATGTTAGGGTTAAGGATTAGGGTTAGGTTAAATGTTAGGGTTAAGGATTAGGGTTAAGGATTAGGGTTAAGGGTTAAATGTTAGGGTTAAGGATTAGGGTTAAGGGGGTTAAGGGGGTTAGGAGGATTAGGGTTAAAGGATTAGGGTTAGCGTTAAATGTTAGGGTTAAGGATTAGGGTTAAATGTTAGGGTTAAGGATTAGGGTTAAATGTTAGGGTTAAATGTTTAGGGTTAAATGATTAGGGTTAAGGATTAGGGTTAAATGTTAGGGTTAAATGTTAGGGTTTAAGGTTTAGGGTTAAGGATTAGGGTTAGCGTTACATTTTAGGGTTAAGGATTAGGGTTAGGATTAGCGTTACAATGTTAGGGTTAAATGTTAGGGTTAAGGATTAGGGTTAGGTTAGGGTTAGCGTTAAATGTTAGGGTTAAAGATTAGGGTTAGGGTTAAATGTTAGGAAAGATTAGGGCTAGGGTTAAATGTTAGAGTTAAGGGTTAGGGTTAAAGATGTTAGGGTTTAGGGTTAGCATTTAAATTTAGGGTTAAGGATTAGGGTTAGCGTTAAATTTTAGGGTTAGGGTTAAATGTTAGGGTTAAGGGTTAGGGTTAAATGTTAGGGTTAAGGGTTAGCATTTAATGTTAGGGTTAAGGGTTAGCCCTTAACCCTAACATTTAACACTAACCCTGACATTTAACGTTAACCTTAACATTTAGTGCTAACCCTAACCCTTAACCCTAACATTAAATGCTAATCCTAGCCCTTAACTTTAACATTTAACACCAACCCTGATATTTAGCGCTAGCCCTAACCCTAACATTTAACCCTAATCCTACCCCTTAACCCTAACATTTAGCACCAACCCTAACAATAAACGCTAATCCTAGCCCTTAACCCTAACATTTAGCGCAAACCCTAACATTAAACGCTAATCCTAGCCTTTAACCCTAACATTTAACCCGAATCCTAGCCCTTAACAATAACATTTAGTGCCAACCCTAACAATAAACGCTAATCCTAGCCCTTAATCCAAACAACTAATGTTAACCCTAACTCTAGCAATTAACCCTAATGTGCGACTTTGGACACAGAGGTTGATTTACTAAAAGGTAAATATACTGTACGCTGTAAGTGCAGTTGCTTTATATCCGAAGGGAAGCTCTGAAATGTGGGGAAGCTCTGCTGATTTCTTTTATCCAATCATGTGCAAGCAGAAATGCTGTTTTTTTTTATTTTCTTTGCATGTTCCCCTCAGATCTAGAGCAACTGCACTTCCAAGTGCACAACCTATTTGCTTTTAGTAAATCAACCCCATAAAGTTGCATGACAAGTCACAGCCCCATTGATTGCAACAGAACTCCTTCACATTTATGCGACTTAAAGTCACAGCAACTTTGATAAGGTTCCTGCACTACTTCGATGCAACTTTGAATGCCAGAGAGTGTAAAGTCACACTCAATACTTTCCTATTGGCAAAAAAATGTGAAACACATCAAAAACACATGTTCAAGAACGCAAAATTCACTAGAAAAACACATCAATCGCCACATGCATATGTGTGAACCTAGCCTAAGGTCCTTTTGACATTTGAGAGATGTGCTTTTCACACTTTTGTGCGTTTTTGGAGTGACACCATTCACTTGAATAGACTCCACTGCAAAAATGTGCCAAAGTAGCTCCTGTATCCTTTCCGGGCCAACTTTGCACATTTTTAAGGCATTCTGTTGAGTGACCTAACGCCCATTTCTTTAGCGCATTTGGGTGTACTAACAATAAATGAAACCAAAACAAACATTGCGTGTTTTGGTGCGATTTTAGCACAATTCTGAGTCGCTGAACTGTGAACAGGGCCTATGAAGGGAATTCCCCAAGCTTTGGGAGATGTCCTCTAACTTCCTGTTGTGTCTCTGAGGCAGGAAGTGCAGGGAAATTTCCTAAATGATACACAGGCAGCAAAAATTAATTTAAATAATAATCTTATATGGGTTTATAAGCTTTTTCTACCCCATATAAAATAAAAGAAAAAAGTTCTGCCTATACACACACAGTAACACCTCAGGGAAATAACGTTTGACTGGTAGTTGCATTTGCAACACTGTAACATTAACAATGCCTATGGCCCAATTCCTTCTTTGTAACCTGTAAAACAGGAACCACTGAGACTGACGTCAGCAATACACTGCGTGCACACACACTGTTCCTATACCGCACACCGCCCTGACAACACCGACACCGCCCAGTGAGAAGAAACTCCCGAACCAGCACGCCTACCGAGAGCGCGCCGCCCACAACTACGCACTTTCCATTCAGGAGTCCAGCCAATGGCAGACGGCGCTTCCCTAGGCAAGGAGGAATCGGGGCTTGTGATTGGCTGAACGATCTTGCCCTCAATAACAGGGTGGTGTGGGAACGTGGGGTATAGCCGTGCGCCGTAGATTGAGAAGCACTGCTTGTTGTCATTGGTTGTTATATGGCTGCCCACGTCACATAATGTTTGCAAGCTTTTAAGACGAGAATAAAGCTTTCTGTGTCAGAAATGTTATATGTCCATGATATTCATTGTACACTAATTGATGCCATTTTGTAAACTGAAGAAAGGGGAATAAAGTATCATAAAGGAGGACAATGGCACCTTTCCATAATTCCTGACTAAAGTTCATATAGGATTCCAAGGAACTTATAAAGAGGGGGAGCAGACACAAGTGAATGTCAAAGAAACATTTTATGAAAAGCAGGGAAATCGCACGGTGCTTTTGCAGCAGGGGCGGACTGACCATTTGGTTTTTGGTTTGTTTAAGAAAAAATAAAAAACCCAGAGGTGATTAAATACCATCAAATAATATTTTATAACAGAAACTAAGAAAAAATGTTTTTTTCAACATTTTCAGTCTTTTTAGTTTGTTTAGCAAAAAAACCCCAGTGGTGATTAAATACCACCAAAAGAAAGCTCTGTCTCAAAAAAATGCTAAAAATGTTGTTTGGATACAGTGTTGCATGACCGTGTAAATTGTCATTCAAAGTGCGACAGAACTGAAAGCTGAAAATTGGTCTAGGCAGGAAGGGGGTAAAAGAATCCAGTAGGTAAGTGGTAAAGTAATTGTAAACCTTTATATTTACCCAGTGATGTGACTGGCCTCAGGTGATACACAAGATTAAACAAATCCTCCTACATAAATTGTACCTGTTTATCTGGAGTATTACCTTCTCTACATCAGTTCAAAGTCCAGAATTTCTGAGAGATTGCCTGAACTGTCAGAAAAAAAAGTTGGAAATTGAAATTACACTCTGCAGAGGTCAGTGAAGAGAGCTCTGAGAGCTGATCGGAGGGAAGGTCACATGCCTGATGAAGGGGTCCTGTGAGACTCCGAAACGTTGCACTTGCTGTAAATATGAGA